ATGAAACGCACTGTAGGTTCTGTTCCCCAGTGCGTGGAAAGAGCTGTGAATCGAGAAAAAGTTGCCCAGAAACATCATCATGGGGCCACATTGCTTACCTTGCGAGAGAGGAACACCAGTTATGGACGAAGCCGCTGAGACGGGAAGAGAATTTGCAAAGTCCGCTTAGGCTTCGCCATTTACAAGACCAAGATGACCTCCTTGGAAGTCCTAATTGAACTCTTACTACACCTCGAAGAGAAATGCAGGTCAATCGGTTTCCCACTTCGAGCAGAATGCATATGTTGTTTCTTTAGTTCTCCATACGAAATTCGACACGTCTTTGAAGAATTGTACAGCGATCGGTCCCATAGGATCAAACCAGAACGTCTGATGGCCTTCCATCACTTACCATCAGAGCTCTGACTAGGCACTTCTCGCGGTACTCTTCGAAATCCAAGTAGCCAAGGGCGTGAAAATTACATGGCAAGACTGTGTTGCTATGTAAGAGAGGTGATCTAATTAACATTGGCAATTACTGCCTAATCGTCCTGCTGTCTGTAATCTCCAAACGATTCACACGTGTCATCCTGATTAGGATTGGCAGAATATGTATTGGACGAAGGTGAGTCATGCGAGCGAGCAAGGTTTCGGAAAGAGTTCAAAGCAGGCGATCACTTCCTCACTATCACAAGACTTATTGTAGTATCGCGAGAGTACAGGATGCTGTTATGTCTTACAGTCTCAGATTTGAAGAAAGCTCTTGGTAATATCGGGACAGAAACGGTAAGTTAAGCCCTGTGCAAGTAGGCTGTTCCAACTCAAGGCATAAGAACGCTTCGTGAGCGTCATGATCTCGCTATTTCGTAAGCAAGTCATTGCCAACGTGAAGAGAGTGGTTCGTCAGGACGATACCACCTTGCCAAAACTTTTCAGTACCGCCTTCAAGACTATCGTGCGGTACTTGGAATGGTGAGAGTTTGGAGAGAGGGCTTCTGCCTACGTTCTCTCCGACTTGCAGACGACATCATGCTTATAATAGCGTCAAGCAGGTAGAACAAATGCTGGCCGATTCAACAGCGATATTGCGGTCGTTCCTGCTTTGACGTACACCTTGGAGACCTGGACTCTGAACTCTACGGAAAGAGAATGAACATTCAGACAGCGTCTTTGAGCGCGTTGTGGGAAAGGCAATGCACGGGAATCCCCTATGTGCAGAAGGGAATACAGAGTTCCGACGTCGAGGAATCGAAGATCAGGTAGTCGGACACGTGATGACCGTTGAACCCAGTTACAGTTAGCGCACGGATCCCTCGAGACGTTAAACGTTCACTAACACGGCTGCCGGGATGATGGTCCGACAGAGACGAAACGTCCATGGAAATGTTACTGGCACCCGCTCCAGATAATCGATGATCAACGGGACGACAGGTGATACTGGTTCTGTTTACTCAAACAGATTTTCTGGTAAATCAAACTTCAAGCAACTTGGCGGTGTTATCCTGAAATATGGAAACCCTTTCTGCTACCAGTTTTATCTTTTTCGACGGGACTGGGCAGAAATGGTCTTTTGCACTTTGGGGATCCGCACTAACATATCCTCATGCTCTTCCAAAGTACACTAATTGTCAATTAGAGCAAATCCGAAATAATTGAGTTGCCTATTAGGGAAAATCCGAATTAACTGAGTCATAACCCACGCCCACTCCCATTGGTAGGCGTCATCACCTCCAAACTATGCAAATTCAAAAAAACAGTCAGATTATGGCAATTATTTCCGGTCAGTGTTTATAGGACAGAACTTACCCATGCTAGAAAACATATTCCGTTTTGGTCCGGTATATATTCTCTGTTCTCTCTGCCAGTCATCTTGTGATCCATCGCCCCAATTTTACTCGACAACAAAATACGTAGATCAGCTGTCACATTGTTTCCCGTTGTAATAAAAGCGGCATCGACTAGGTATTACGTCCACCCTTCCTAAAAAAATGAATAGTTTGAATTTCTCCCCACTCTGTAACTGGGAGATGCCCTTACTCGGTAAATTTATTGGATTTGCCACCGAGAGCGTCATCACGCTTCCTGAACAAGACATGGGAGCCGTTTTACTCAAAAATTCGGTGGAAACCTTGCATTCTATTGCTATTCAGTTGTCTGATGAGCATATTCTTCAAGGACCTTCAGGAATCTAATTTCTACCATTGATTATCATCAAGTATTCCGTTATAAGACACACTTGACGCCAACGGAAAGCCCATGATGGATGTAACACTGTCGTTGACGGCCAAACGTGATTTCACCTTCGTTAATCATTCCTATCATATGTCTCTCCCAATTGGTGTCTCTTTTCGGCTAACCAAGTCCTTCATGACTTTTTCGACTTCGTAGAATTTTTCTTTATTTTAAATTGACGTAAACTTTGTTTTGATGAAATTCTTTTGATTTATGGTGCATTAACAGTACAAATTACTCGCCTCGCCTTTTTTGTTTGCTGTAATGGGACTAACGTTGTCACAGCTCTTTTCTACTGACGCCATTTGAACATATTTCATTTACCTACCGAAAACGTCCCACTCTTCTTTTCCCAATCAATCCGTTTAGCAACACTTTGGCGAACACTTCATACACGTTCTCTTGAAGAGCCTATTGGATCATTTCTCCATTCAAACCGTGGAGGCCCTCGATTTTCTCGCTTTGCTGCTTTCTTGACTTTTGTTGCCTTTTTGTAGAACACAACATAAATTTATATAAACTATAGATGAAGAAGAAGTCGCTGAACAACCAACGGTTTGGGTGCCTTACTACTCGAACAAGATATTTAGTTTTATTCTTAGGTAAGAAGGTTATCAAGATTGAATTTTTCAGAAAGTTGGAAGTTCATTTGCTTTGAAAGAGCTCCGAACTACATTTTCTCAGTAACTATACCTTTAATGGGGCAGTGTTTCCGTTCTGCAAACCTTAACACTATGGCGACACGAAGTCTGAGAGTAAGATGCCTCTAACAGACATCAAAAACAAGTGATCAAGACGTGGAATCGAACTTTGATTGTTCAAGTATGTGACAGCTCATGTGGCTGTGAAAAAAAAGTTTTTCGAAAAGGTGTGCCGAAAGTTTCCACTTTTTTTAACACTGTTTTGGTAACCGGACTACCTACTTATTTTACTCACATGGAAACCACCGCTTGCGCGAGATATGACTGCAACTATTTGCTCCATCATTACTCCTCGAATTCTTCCTGTCACCTTGGAGCAAAGCCCTTCCGTAATTTGTGTAACGAGTTCAAGTTATTATATTTGTGCAAGGACCTTCTACTCCCTGGCTGTAAGAATTTCGTAAAAAATTTTGAAAATTTTGTTAAATTGTATGGATTCGAGAAATTCATGACATACCTGAAATTGCCTTCGTGGGGACCCAAAAATCGTATGTAATTTCCAAACACCCTCCCAAAGAGGTCGGAGTAGGGAGTTCGTAATACAGTGTGAAAGAAAAGCTCTATCTCAATTCAATAGGGAGACTTCTTGCCACAGGACATTGCTGGGAAAGTCTCCCAATCGTTCCAATTAACCGACTCCGGAGGAAGGGAAGGTTTGTCTGATCTGAGCGCATATCGATCCGGGATTCGAACCCGGGACCATGCGTATGTGATAATGCGCCTCTTGCCTCCATACCACCTTGTCACCTAATTCAGTCGGACATTTTATTGATTTGGATGGCGTCACACTACGAGCTATCCTTTTTTACCAGTTGAGATTTCATCAAAAAAAGTGGCCTTCACTGCAATAATGTATAAATTAATCAAAAATGACTGGAGAATCTCAATGCAAATTTTGATTTCTTCCAATTTCAGGATCAGCATGTATAGCTTCGATAGCATCAAATATGATTGTCCTCAACTTCACACTGATTTGTATGGGTACGGAATATAATGAAGTACAGCCAAAATACTTATTTTTTCTATTTTATGAGAGACATTAGTTAAATCCAAATTCTTTACAGACTAACCCCATGAGTGCTGAAAATCGAGGACCATACGACTATACCCAATCGGAAAAATCCTATTTGATGTGGGCAGTAGCAATTGGAACCCTACTAGCCGCATGGCCTTTTCACTGGTTAGTGCGATTGACAAAAAACAAGATTTTAGAGCAGCAGACGAATTATATTAGCCTTGGGACCATCAATTCTACAATTGACTATGATCTTAGATCTCTTTTCGTTGGTTATTTCGAAAATTCAGGAAAAACCTCTTTGAACTATCAAATAAGCATTTCAATTATTTGATTTATTGGCAGTAATCCAGGATCAGTCCAAAGAGCAGTGATTAATTATTCGTCATCAATTAATCTTGGTGATCGCCACGCTTCGGCTCATGTTTTACGATAGTTTCACAGAGTTTCACGATATTTTGTTGAGTATGGACCCTACAGGCCACAAAGGTTCAGAAATGAGTTGAGCAGTTCCCTTCTTCCTGCAGGGCACAAATGGGTTGAGAATCGCACCCCTGTTCGAACAAGAAGGCAACCTTCTAGCGACTGGAAAGTTTCATTCCTATTTGGCCGTATTACTCTATAAAGTCGCCTGGGACTAGTTGACCGCTCCGACCAAAAAACAGGATTTTTATCGATAACAATCCACGGTGAATGCCCTTGATCATTGTTGTGATACCATATGTCATCTTTCTTGCGCTTCCTTTCCATCACCCGAACACAAGCACCCGACAATTGCGGTATAACGGTTACTCGAGTAATCGATAGAAAACAGCCCTAAAGGCTCAATTCACGATAAAACGGTTTCTGAAATTTACCTATAGTGTAAATTCGAGGTTCCCCCCTACACCATACTTGCCGTTATAAGGTCGAAAAACGTTATGGATAGGGCACAATAAGGGGCTAGAGTTTGTATCGCGTGAATGCCACACCCATCGTGGACGAGTTTCAACGGCTTTGTAGAGGCTGCACCATATCAAGAGACTCCCGTGTAGGAAATTCAAACAACCTGTCGTAACCAATGGCAACAGTGAAAGGCAGTTTTGGACAATTTGGCTTGATGTGGTCATCTTTTTGAGCAATGGGAGCGAGCTAAATCTCGCCCAAACACCCCTTATGTGGCATTACCGTCACGGTGATCTCGTACAACCTCCACTTCCACTACTTTCCGATAGCCTTAAAGTTGGCGAATTTTCTCGCTTTCTTCGCCACCGATGTACTCTCCTACATCAACACTTCCGCTTTTCAACCTAATAAGGGTACCTCAAAATTATCGTGAACTGGGCCTCGGAACAGCCGATTCATTCCAGTTTTTATAAAAGATTCCTCAATAGGCCCGCAATGAGTGCAGAGCGTCAATTACAGTTTTAATTGCCAAAAGGCGGTAGAGAATAAACCGGTATTATCATAGAGAGAGGAAAGGAAGGGCAATGCTCGAGTAAATTTGGTGACACGGTAGCCCACGTCATTCTTTTGATGAAATACCATCCCATAACAGACCACTGATGGACCGTAGCCAGGGAAACGATGCCAAAAAAAAACTTAACCAGCAAACTAATAGCATCGATCCTGTAGTTGTGAGGAACCTACATTGCTCCATTCACATTAATGAGTTACTAGAAGGTTTCGATCGTTCAAGAAGCATGGCGAGTTATGAGCTAAACTTCAGGGTCGGACGACACTCGAACCCGTACTAATGCTTTCTGGGCTTTCTAGGGTTTTTGGTACCTTTCTAAGCGTTAAATAAAGTAACAGGATGAATGATCTTTGAACTCTGCTACTACTTATGTGGGTGTGATATCTTCTACCCGAAAATTGCGTCGCGCTAGCCACACCAGCCGTGTATCTCAGAAATGCGATGGATGATAGGAGCGCGCCATTGATGAGTCAGAGAGTTCTTTGGTTATTTACCATTCCCGGCCACTTCCTTCATTCCCAATGCGGTCTCGATCAATGATAATAGGACAAGGAGCGAGTTACTGCATGTTTGTTGGTCATGTGTTCTTTCAACAGAAAAACAATAAGAGCTAGTCTAAAAGCAAGGTAATCACGAAAAATATGTTGTCCTAATGACTGGTCTGGAGCCAGGCTGAGTACTGTAATTGCAGTTGAAGCGAGACAACTAAAAACGATTTGCCGCATGCCGCAAAGCGAATGTGAGAAATTGGAGAGAAGTCCCGCCACCCAATGCTCCCAAGCCTGTATCGCTAAAGACCGAGATCAGCCTGAAATCGTTTGCTACGCGACTGAGTTATATCATATTGGGGAAACTTTCTGCAAGAAATTCGGTTTCGCTCGGGACCACTCAAATAAATATAACTAAATTTATATAAGTTACTGCAATTAAATCTGGAATAACAACAAATTAGAAAAATAAGGGCAAGTAAGCAGATAGCGGTATTAACATAATATATTTCCAGGTTCTATGAGAACTATGGAGCCCGATCGGTGTTCTTCGCGGCCGGTATGATCTCGACAGTCGCAACAGCGGCAATGCCTCTCGCAGCAACCTACAGTTGGCACGCTTTTCTGTTGGCACGATTCTTCCAAGTTCGTTGTGCAACTAAGAAATCATATAAAATAGTATTTTTGGGAATTGTGAGAGCCTGTAAAACTGCTAAAAATTTATTTGAAACTTATAGTGAAACCCTGTAGAAGTTAATGGGAGTGATATGAAAACCCACAATTTAAAGGTCACATCAAATCATCTTTCGAAAGTTCAGATGAGCTTTTTTT